TTTAAGGTAAATTATACCTACGTTCAAGCCTTTTTCATGTATTCATATATATTACTCAACACGTTGCTCAGTCCCATCAACAAAGGTCACATGTGAGCAACAGTTGCTCTCCCAGAGGCTCCATCTCGCTCCCTCTCTGCCCTCTTGTGGACATGAGATGACGTTAACGATGTGCAGTCTGCATCAAGCCAAAGCGTGATATTCACCCATTCTTCATGATTCACTAAGTTGATTAAATAATTACGTTTGTTTGTAGTTGAGACGCACCAATGAGGCACAGCGCCACCTGGATTTGTAGATGAACAAAGCATGATTGGCTGTTTTTCCTGATGCTCAGAAACACCCGTCTTGACTGATTCATCTGGGAGCTGTTTCCATGATTTAATGCAGACTTCCTGGTTAAATTTAGCCGAGTGAGTCTGTTATCTGACCTGTTTCGAAGCGCTGCCATGTCTGACCTAAATGCCTCAGTGGACACGCTTACAGCTGCTCGTGCTGCAGCTCTGCCTTGTTGCAGCTTGTTGCTCTACTGGTGGTACCTGGTTGTGTTGTTCCTGCAAGCGTTAACGTGTTTGTTGCTGTTTACTCATGATGGATGACATTTAACTGTAAGGCTGTAATCTAATAAAATACAACAGAAGCACGTCTAATCTAATCCAGCATCTGATCTCATCTAATCTACCTGCTGTGTAACGAAACCTCATTTAAAGTCATGACACATCATTTAAAGTCAGCTTAAATTATAAACATCCCCTTTTTTTTGTTAGTGTAGTGTAATGAAGATAGAGCCACCAAATCTTACTGGTGCTGTGTGATCTAATCTGGAACAACATCACTGCGTCTTATTTTAGATCATCTCATTGCATCCCAGCTAACATAATCAGACAGATGGGGAATATAAGACTGAAAGATTAGAAAAGAAAAAGAGAAATGAGGCTGGGGAAAGAAAGTAGAGACAGATTCTAATCACACAACAAGCTCCAGGTTGACATGTGAAGCTGAACCCGAGACACACTTCCTCCAACATCCCAGCATGTTTAACTTCCTGTAGTCAGACTCACATCTCAGGTGTCTTTGAGTTCAGCTCCACTAAATAATGTCTGTGGATAAAACCGGATGTAAAGGAGTTCAGTCCTGCAGCCCAACAGTCAACATGTTTCATCCAGACTGCCAAACAGTGCAGAAAGTATACAAGCACAGCTAAAAAATAAAAAATAAAACAGGAATGCCTGGTAGAGTCTGGCTTTTCACGAGGTAGGCAGTCAGATAGATAGATAGATAGATAGATAGATAGATAGATAGATAGATGACACACCCCTACAGTCTTGTGTCACAGTTAAACTCAACAAAACATCACAACAATAGATATCGTTCTGGTTTCTGATAGATGTAGTATTTTATTGATCCTAGAAGGGACATTACATCACAGAACACTTGTACGGTACACGGAGCTGACGAACAACAACACAATGAAACAGAATCAAAATATTTACAGGGAGATAAGATAGTACTGTCGTGGCACAGATTAAAGCTGGATGTACAAAGTCCCTGAGAAGATAAGTCTCCCTGGACAGATGGGAGTCACTGTACGCTGCTGTGGTGGTTCCTTCCACTCGCCTCCGAGTAGCGGATGTGAAGTGTCATCTATTATGTCGACCAGGTTTCAGCGTTCTTCTCTGGTCAATCAATCCCAGGACGAGCAGCAGCCTCCTTCCTTTAGTGCCACTGGCTCCTGATGCCACAGCAGACGACTGCAGAGACACCTGCAGCAACAACCTCTAACTCACCAATGCAAAGCAGGATTTATCTCACAAGACTTTCACTCATAATGGAGCATGGTTTTATTTTCCTGTGTTGGTACAGAGGATGAGATAAGACTTTATTAAACCCAAAGTGGGGACATTTGAGTTTAAAAATGAATGTGTTACCAGATTTTTAAAAGTTTTACAGCAAAAGTAAAGCATTGGCTGAAAGAAAAACAAGAACGTACCCACTGATGACATCCATAAGGTCCACTCTATATGCGGTACATCAGATGTGTTCTATGATAAATGATGGGCCCTGATCAAATAAATTAATTGATTAATAAATAATGCATTTAGAGTTCATTACATGGGACATTTTTACTAATTGTGCATTTTTTACTGTTTGTTTTTGCTAACTGCATTTGTTTTTTGTTTTTTTTTTTGCTTATGTATGTGTATTTATGGTGGTGGCAGCTTTACTCTTTCTTTATTCTGTCTTCCATTTCTTGTCGGTTTATTTTATTTTATTTTATTTTATTTTATTTTTATTTTCCCACAGAACTTTATTTACCAATGAGTGTGCATACAGAGAATTAAACAAACAACATAAACAATTTGCCAGACATGTGCTCAAAATAATAAATGTATTTTAGAAATTTTAAATTCTGTGTTAAATAAAAGATAAACTATTTATTTATTTATTTATTTATTTTTAAATTAAGAAATAAATATATATACATAAAGGGGACAAGAGGATGAGCATTATTGCTCTTTCAGAACAGTTCTTTAAATATTCTCACAGTTTTTTTGCTTTTGTTCTGTTTTTATTTGATTCCGTCTCTTGTAGGTAAAAGGTCGCTCACCGTTGACGGTGACGTCAGCTATCCGCCCCGCCCACCGCCGACGTCACGCCCGCCTCTCGGCTTTCTGATTGGCTGCTCTGCTCGGTCGCAGTGTTGCGAAACACATCCGACACGTACCGCACGCCGCGCTGCTGGAGGGAGAAGTGTGTGTCAACGGAGCCGGGACGGAGCCGAACCGAGCCGAACCGAGCCGGGACAGCGAGGACGGAGGGAAGAAGTGAGAAGAAACGACTCAGTTAGAAGCTTTTTTTTTTAACGAGTGGATGTGATTTTTTAATTTTAATTTAAATTTTTTAATGTTTCCACGTGAGTCATTGGACACAAAAATCAGCAAATAAGGAAAAAAAAAAAAAAACTCAAGCAGGAATGGAGAGATCCAACGGCCTCTCATCGGACAGAAACATCCTGTGCCTGTTCGATGTGGACGGAACCCTGACACCGCCGAGAGAGGTGAGATCCGTTCGTGTGGTTGGTACCGACTCTGAGCAGCCCTCTGCAGATCCCCCATCACTCCCCAGCCGTGTCCTCGTGTGCTCCCTCACGCTGTGTTTTCATCCCCTGGTCGGGCAGCGGGGCAACTCTCTAAGTATTTGCCCCCTCCTGCTGCAGGCGCACTGGGGCTGTTGGGTATCTGCTCAGCTGTTGACTTGTTTACACATGGAGATGCCCCAGTGGTGGCAGCTCGTGCACCTGTATTTTCATTTTTATCATGACGTGAAGGAGAGCAGCAGACACGTGCAGGCTGTTCTGTTGGTGAGACGCATCAGTGCAAATGATTTAGTGATGATCCAAGAGTCCCTCCTGCTGCTTTTGTCTTTGGGTTTGAATGCTGCGGTTCATCTAAGGTAACGTGTGTGTGTGTGTGTGTGTGTGTGTGTGTGTGTGTGTGCAGTATGCCGGCGCCCAGATATTACATAATGTGCTCTCCCTTGTGTGCAGCTCACACACTTTCCTCCCATACGTTGGAAAATCGGGCATCTGCTCCAAATTACAGGCAGAACCTGCAGCAGCTATGTGCACTGTTTACTGTTATTTCTACATTACAGGAACACACAGGGTTTAAAATATGAATGAGTGTGTGTGTGTTTTGCCAAACATTTGCTGGTTTTAGCGTTTCAAACGTGGAGCTTTGGTGCTTTTCTTTGTCTTCGGTGACAGTGAAAAATGTTTGGGCTTCGGACTGCTGGTAGGACAGAACAAGCAGTCTGATGTCACTTTGTGGGAGATTATGATGTTAACTTTTTAACTTTTAAAAGCTAAATCGCTATAGATTAATTCAGAAAATGATCAGCTGGATCTATAATGACATGTTGGTTAATCTGACCCTGTTAGTCGCAGGTCTAGTTGGAGTAGTGGGAATGTAAGTTTTTATTTTAAAGTCACAACAAAGAAACTCAGGATCCAGATAGTTTACCAGCTGGATTTCCACCAATCATTTCTTTTACATCCGTCTGAACTGGTCGTGTTTTTGTGACACTTTGTTCAGAAAATCGACCCACAGCTGGACGAGTTCTTCCAGAGTCTGCGGAGGAAAGTGAAGATCGGCATCGTGGGAGGGTCAGACTACTCCAAGATAGCAGAGCAGCTCGGGGAGGGGGATGATGGTGAGCAGGCCTCCGTCTCTCTCATCCACTCATGCTTAATGTGGTTTAGCATCTCTCTGTGTTTTCACTGTGACTTGTTTATAGGACATCAGTCAAAACAGAGGCAGGTTCTGGGAGTCATTTAGGTTTTAGGCCACGAGGTGAAAACTTGTGGCTTAATGAAGAGCAGCGTCACAGCCTTCTAACAGGATTAAAGACCTGCTATACGATGACACGAGGAGTTAGTTCAGCCTGAGTCCTCTCTTGTAGCAGGTCATTAGTTGCTGCCGATGACTCTCACGTTAGGATTATTTCACCTCATCACGGTGACTTTGCAAAAAAAATCTGAAGCCACAGTTTAAACCTAAACATATGAGGCGTAGTCACCTGCAGTATCAGAGTTAGACTTAGAAATACATTCTGAAAGAAAAACTACATCCTTGTTAAAGCCTGTCGCCCAATCCAAGTATCACAATATTCAAGTAACTCGAGTACTTTGGATTACTTCTGAATTCCCCTAAAGATGAGATAAAACAGGACAGCAGATGGAGAGCAGCAATAGAACGGAACAACAAATATGAAGGATTCTGGGGGTCGGTGAGGCCAACGGCTGGAGGTCAGAGACGTGAAGCTCCAGATCCAGAAACGTCCGCAGAGAGAACAAGCTCAGTGAACAGATCAGGCTTTTGTGAAAGATAAAATAAAAACATCCCGACAGCTGTGAGGAGCTCAGGACTCGACCTGAAAACGGCGACTTTGCAGCAAATCATTTAACCGACAAACAGCTCACCTGTCTCAGGTGAAGAAAAGGTGGATTCAAGGGTTCAAGGCCTTTATTGGTCACAAACACAATTATACCTGGTGTAACGCACAGTGAAATGCTTTGTGCACCTGTTCCACACTGAAACAATAATAAGATGAATAAGGATAAAGAATAAAACACACAAGAAATATAAAAAATATATATATGAATGTATATGTATATAGAGTGAGAGAAAGGGCTAAAAAATTAGCTAAAATAAATGAATAACATTTTCAAACACTGCAAAAGGAGATAGACTAAGTCAATAAAATAATAATACTATATACATGTATGTATACAAGGTGGAAAGTGACCAGTTGGATTGTTTGTTGAGTCTGTTGAGGTGTTTAAGAATGCAGGTGTTTGATAAACTTAGAGCAGGGCTGTCCAATCCTGGTTTGAATCAGGTGTGTTGGAAGACAGAAACATCTAAAACATGCAGGACTGTGGCCCTGGAGGACCAGGACTGGACACCCCTGACTCAGAGGAAAGCAACAAACTAAACTTCAGTTTCTGTTCTCGTTTATCCACAAACCCAAATTACATCCATTTACGATCTGCAGTCGATTTTAACCAAATGAATCAGTCGTCTTATTACATGTTTTTGTTCTGTAACCTTGATGAAATGCAGCTACCCCTTTTCTTGGTATCTCACTATGTGATCTTGTTTTCATCCATTCTGTTGCCTCCTCAGCCTGCTTCCCATCACTGAGATCTAAACTCGCACACATCAGCTCAGCTTAGCTAAAAGCTGTTGCCAAAACACACTGACACACTGGGCATCACGCTGCAGCAGCACCAGCTGAGAGAAGGCTCGGCTGCATGAACGGTTTGATAACCTATCTGTGGGTAAATATTAGGCTGCACTCGGAATGCGGATGCATTGTGCCAGAGAGAGGAGAGCTCTGCTTTTATCAGCGCTGTGCTAAAGGTGAACGCTGTTACCTCACAATGTGACGCCTGTAGAGCTGTTGACAGGTTGGAAATCAGTTGACCTGGTTGTTGTGGAGGTAAACATGGTGCATTTAAAGTGTTATTGAAGCTGCAGATTTTATGACACCATCATTAAAATTAAATAATCACTTTTGTTTTGTTCCATCTGTAACCCAGTTAGAGGCATGTTTTATGTCTACATGCGTGGAGCTGCCTGGATTCTAATGCAGTTTAAATTAAAATGATTAAAACGGCTTTCAAACAGGGAAAGTTCCAGACTTTCCCAGAATTTCACTGTTGGCAGAGAACAGATTGAGTGACAGATTAACTTCCAGGCAGCGTTACAGACACTCTAATCTGCTCCCAGGAATACGCAGCTCTTCCGTTCTTAAGCTGCTGCTGCTGTAAACGTAGACGACCGTGTCGGCTTCACAGAGGCTCATTTAACCACATCTCACTTCTCCTGTCTCTTGCAGTGATACACAAGTTTGACTACGTGTTTGCTGAAAACGGAACAGTGCAGTACAAAGATGGGAAGCTGCTCTCAAAACACGTAAGTACACATCTGTCACGTCCTGTCACTGGTGCAGCTGGTTTTCAACACATTGTGTGGAAAATAATACACACCTCATGATTGGACTACACACAGTCGTGACTTGATCATCTGACCCTTAACAATCCTAAACCTGCTATCTGACAGGTTTTTTAGGAAAAACAAACAGAACCCATAAAAACAGCCTTAACATAGCGACAGCCTTGGATTGTGACTCCGACATGACATTTAATGTCACCAATCAGGATGACGGCGTATTATCTGACTGAACAATCCCACAGATTGGCTACGTTCACACTGCAGGACTTGATGCTCAATGAGGATTTCTTTGTGACTTCCTTCACGTTTCCAGTTCAATGCGACTTGTATGTGATCTGCTGTGTGAACTTCATACGACCCAAAAGTGTCCCGCATGCGCAGAAGAGGACACGACGACGTCACACGCAGCGAGCGTGCTCAGTGTTTATGGAAGTAAACATGGATGGTAACGGTGGAGCGTATCTGCCACTCCCCCACCGCCACCGATGGAGGAAACAGAAGTGTGAGCGCTAACTAAACTAGCATCAGCAGCCAAGTACTGCCTGTGTGTTCTGGACACTTCCACCCCGTCAGAGCGCTGCCCCGGGGTGGAAGTGTCCCCCGACCGCAAAGAATGTTCTGATATTCATCATTAATTGGGCCTGAATATCCAGAGAGCAGAAAGTTCTGTTGGGACCAGCCCTACTAGTTATTATAACAACTATGAACAATAATGAACAACTAATGATCCTTCCAGCATCAAGCCCTCCTCGTATCTGGACCTCCGTCTTGACAATCCGACAGCCTTGCTATCCGACATAGAAGAAGGTTTTACATTTAGTGTCGGATCATCGAGCCATGACTGTTTTACAGGTTATAGAACATTTAAAAACCACTGAGAAGTGAAGCAGACAACATTCATCGTCTCATTGTGACGTTCTTCTGGGAAACCTTGGGTCCCCATATTCATGTGGTTTGAAATGTGTCGCCCCACCTAGACGTTGTTGCCGACCAACCAGCAGATCAGAGCACCCAGCCACAGTGCAAAAACTAGAGAGACACAAAAAGTGCTCAAGGCGTTGACCTGGCTTTCAAACCCCACTGATCCCAATCTGATCGGCAGAATGTGCCAGAATGTTGCTAATCCACAGAGTGTCTACACCACAACCACAAAGCAGCGTACACAGAATTACACAGATGATTTTAACGCTGTGGATGATCAGAGTAGAGAAGCATATTACAGTGAGTCACACACTTTCTGTTACCTACAACTGAAAGTATCTCTCCCTACTACGACAACCATGACAGTTAATTCATGGGTTATGTTTAGTCGTCCGTAATTGGAGAAACATTTTCTACACTTTGCACAAAAGACAGCCTCCTAAAGGCTGTGAATCCGTCAAATCCCTTATTTGCTGATACACAAGACAAAATATTTTAAACTGTCGGTTCACTTTCTCACTTCGGTTAACCGTCGCCAAAATAATCCTAAACAGCAGGAGACAGCACAGTCGGTCGTTCTCTTCATGAATTAAAGTTCATTTTCATACCAACAGGCCATTCAGAACCAGATCGGGGAGGAGCTGCTGCAGGACCTGATCAACTTCTGCCTCAGCTACATGGGGCTCATCAAGCTGCCAAAGAAAAGGTGAGGCGCTGACCAGACACACAACAGTCAGTTACTTAGAGCCCGTGGTGGAAACACACACTCACCTCCGACCTGCGTTCCAGGTGTGCAGGAATGTGAAGTCTCCCCGACCTGTTAAAGCAGACCAAAACATTCCTTGTGTCGTTTTAATTAGAGGTGTGAGTCTCTGCTGTCGACTCGGCACCATCCGGCTCATTCCAGGTCTGTTTACCAACTAGTTTTCTAACTCCGTGTCCCTTCTCGGCTGCAGGGGGACGTTCATTGAGTTCAGGAATGGAATGCTGAACATTTCCCCCATCGGTCGGAGCTGCACGCTGGAGGAACGCATCGAATTCTCTGAAATCGACAAGGTAATTTACTGCGTCCACAGAAATGTATTTGTAAGCAGTAAAAGAAAAAGAAATATGTTGCTACGCCCGTGTACCGCTGTGCTTGGAGGCGTCATAGAAGCTGAATTCAGTCAAACACTGACTGCATTCATTTCACCACAAATCAGGTTTTTTGGAAAACGATGCAATCTCACAGCTCATTAACCCGAAACAAGCACGGACTGTGTGCAGTCTCCTTTTTGGGGTTAGCATATCATTTTTTAAGGGACACAGAACATAGTGAGCAACATTCAAAAGAACAGTTTATAACAAGAGTCTTTGGTAAAGGGGAGCGACGTCTGGGAGGGAGTGTAGCGTCTGGCTGCAACGTTGGAGGAGTCGGGGTGGGAAAACACTCTGGGAAGGAATCCAGGAAGGTTGGAAAGTTGAGTGGCCCGGGCTTGTTGCTGCTGGAGACCCTGGGTGCAGCCCGGGACCTGGACCGAATCACTGTGCTGAGGCTTGAGATGGAGGTCTGGTCAACAGGCAGCATAAAGAAGAAGCAAAGTTCATACCAGTGTGTGACTGACCGAGGAGACCTAAACTCTGAGTAAAGCTGGACGAGACAGCAGCTACGTGTGGTCGAGCCGAGGTTTAAATGATGCAGGAGGTTAACTGGAGAAGGAGCGTATCCGATGGTTGGATGAAAGTAGGTCGACCTGCCTGACCACACAAACACTTTACACGCAGACAGGAAGAGACGATCTGCTGTGAAACTGAACCTTAGAATGAACAACAGCCAGGTCCAGCATCTGATCTACAGCAAACCGCCTCTCCGTCTCGTTAAATGTGCTCAATTAGGCAGACAGAGAAACGTTCAACAATACTGAGTTTTCAGGACAGTTGAACAGATGGTCCATTGATGCCTCGCTGTGCCAGGCAATATAGAGGATAGTAGCAGAAGAACAGAGGTTTAACCCTTCAGCCGCCTGCTAACATTTACACACCTGAACCTTCTGTTCAGACTCATGATAAGCACATTGTGCCACCGATGATATGAACGTGACGTCTTGGGGATTGAAGCACACGGCGCCGTCAGTATGCTAAACGATTACACAGGCCTTGTTTGTGCGGTCTCAGTGTCAACATGCTAACTCTTTTGTTGTTTGTTTCGCAGAGGGAGAAGATCAGGGAGAAATTTGTTGCTGCCTTGAAAGAGGAGTTTGCTGGAAAGGGCCTACGGTTCACTAAAGGTGAGCGACTCGAAAGTGAACGCTTGTTCCCACCACACATCAAAATCTGGATGCTGGCAGGTGTTGTATTTTTACATGAGGGTAATATTTTATAAACTCTACTAGTCTGTGAGAGTCATCTTCAGCCCAAAATTTGCTTCTGCACAAACTAAACTCAGGTGTGCATGCATGGAATACGTAGACATGATCTACCGCACATGAATGCATCTGTGTTTTCCGTGCAAGCCCAAGGCTGCTGAGAACAGACACTACTGCCCTTGTAACACAATCTGCACAGACACACATTTTGTGCTGCATGCAGAGCGGTCAAGTGGACTCTGGCAGACTTGGCCAGATGGTGAAGAAGCACCACTGACATCAACAATGACATGATGATAAATAAGCAAATACATAAATGATGTAAAAGTTGTCATCTCCCCAAGTCTGCAAGTCCACATGATGACTACGCTGCAAGAGTAGTAGTATGCATGCATGAATAATAAAGACACGACGTGATGCACATCCTCCAAGTAGACTAGAAAGTTGTTTATTAGCAACTACAGTCGTGACTCCATTTTGGATTGTTAAGGGCCGGATTATCAAGTCATGACTGTACCTTGTATGGAAGTATAATCAAGGTTTAGGTCCACATTCCTGCAAAAAAAAACAACCTGATCTTCCACTTAAGCTTGTCCTGGCGTGCAGTGTGAACTGTGTTTGTCCTTTTAATAATTCATGCACATTGTTAACATTTAGCAGCTTTTAAAACTGTGATCATCATCAACCAAACTTACAGACTCTGATGTAATATTAGTTAAACTGCTGAGTAGTCAGGAGGTCAGTAAGTAGAAAACAAGCTCATCAGGAGGAGAAACAAGTTAATCAGTGTTCTGTTTAGAGCAGTGGAGCTTTCTGACGAACCGGTTTTACGGCCTATTCGTTGTCCCTTATCTCTGTTTTTTAAAAAAGGCCTGTCATGTGTGATGTGTGCAGGACCAGGTGTTGGGCTTAAGAGGCCTCGGTTAACCATTACACTCACACTGTTCCCTCTCTCAGCCCCTTGCGACAGCAGCAGGAAGCTGAATTGATGTTTGCTTACGTGCTCGACGAGGTGTGAGTCTCTCTGATGACGCGAGAAAGGTTCACAGTTCAGAACAACAAACCGGCAGAACGTCTCGTTTGTCTCCTTGTTAAACGTGCCTAACAAGTAAAAGCAGAAAAACAGGGATCCTGAACATAGAGTTGTTGTTTTTTTACATCAGGGCCACTTGCAGTAAATGTACTGAGTTGGACATTTATGTGTTTGCCTTCAGACTGCATGTCCCTCTGCACCGCTGCCCTCGTTAGCTGCTGATGTGGCTAAACTCTGCTAAAGGTGTCGTATACACCAGGACGCTCTGTCCGGTGAACAAGAACAGTGTGTTCATGACGTACACAATGATCTGCGTTACCTGGTGCTCAGCTGCCCTTTGAACCCTTTGAACCCCGGGCAGCTTCTGAGCAGTTTTTTGTTTCTGTCACATTTTTCCTCACTGCAGTATAAAGTCCTGCACCTCTATGGGAACAGCACAACCCCGGGTAGAAGTAGAGGGAACTCAGACATGTGTTTTGTGTAGTATGACAAAGTGACACTGCTGTATATCGTACACAAGACAAAACATTGAATAGTTATTTTACAAAAATGGAAGAATTTGGTCCAAAAGTGTTCCCAATACTGAAATAAATGTTGGCTTAACATACTATAGATATTTAACTGCTTACATGTTTAATTTCCTTCCATATGCTTCATGTAAACATCCCTGAATTTTCATCTCACGGCTGCGACAGTTGAGCTATTCGTGGCTTTTCGATGATGCAGATTTTGTTGTTTTTACAGGATGTGGTGCAAATAGTTCACTTTTGCCAAATTTCTACCTGAGCCACAGAATAAATGGATTTTATAATGAAATGTCGTGAGTTAAAGTTTAGATTTAGTTCATAATTTAAACAGACACACGTGCTTTGTTAAATGAATGTTAAAAATCTGATGATTCTTTTCTATTTTTACAGTTTTATCTCTAATAAACTGTCATGTTATCCATCACATGCCTTTCATACCCGTCAGTGGGTTTTATGATGCGGATCCCAGAGGAGAGGGTTGAGAAACAAATTGTGTTTGTCGTCTTATTTGTTGCGCCCTTTTATCTGAGATGAACAAACCGCTAAGCTGCCGTTTGTTCATCTGGGTTGAGGAAGGTTTCTCATCAGCAGCCCTCTTTTGTCTTGGCTCAGGAGTGCAAGAAGCCGGCTGGGGGATGGGTTTGGTACAGATGCAAAGGAAGCTCTGAGCTGTTTATGTTCTGGGGTTGAAGGTGTTGTACATGGAGGCGTGTGGAGGGTGTGTCAGCGATACCGCCGTCTGATTGGCTGGTGCTGCTCAGCTGTCGCCTTTGCCCTTTAAATCCTTCAGCTGAGTGACAATACAGTGAATTAAAGGTGAAAGTGTGGGGGAGGGAAAACAAAAGGCCGATGGGAACTGCTGCTAAAGGCCATTGAGGGAGATGTCTCTGCCACGTTGCACTGCTGTCTGCAGTCATTTCACTTGCAGCTGAGCAAGAACGGAGCTTCGTCTCAGTGAGAATCGATGACGCTTTGACCAGATGGAGTTGGACTGCGTTGCTTGGACGATACCACAAAAACCCACAGATTCCTTTTAGTTCCACATCCTTCTTTCCCAGCACAGTGTTACTCTCAGCCAACAAGTTCTCAGAACTGCCAGAACAAACAGTGCTCCCTATTGTTACCTGATAACACAGTGTTTAAACGCGACACCTTCTCTGAGGTTGTTGTTGAAGAAACACACAGTGCACCGGCCTGTACTTAACCACTGGTGGTTGTTGTCTCGTTTCAGGTGGTCTCATCAGCTTTGACATTTTTCCAGAAGGCTGGGACAAGAGACTGTGTTTAGAGCTGCTGGAGAGGGAAGGCCTGGACGACATTTACTTCTTTGGCAACGAGACCTCAGATGTAAGTTCATTTCATGTCTGGTGTCACAAACATTCAGCTGATGTGTGATCGTGGAACATCTCATTGAAGGGTCAAGTTTTTTTAATTTTTCACCAACAGCAGACGAACCTTCCTCAATCATAAGCCACAAAGTTCTGAAGCCCAGAATAATGTCTGTGAAGATTCTCAGTCCTCCAGGTCATGGTTGTTCTCACAGTTTAATCGTAGCAACTGGACCTGCTTGAGTTCCTTGAAGATGTTCCACCTCTCATCCAAGAGGCTTCATCAGTTCTGACTGACTAGTTGGGAGTTCCAGATATCCTGAAGGAGACATTAATACCTGAGTTTCAATTTGGGGTTTGTTGCTCCTCCCCCTCATTATGTGAGTCGTTCGTACTCCTCCTGACACAATGGGGTGACCTCCGGTTGGCGTCCCGGTGAGGACACCCGGGATCTTCCTGCGTGGAGTCTCCATGTTCTCCCCGTGCAGCGTGGGTTCTCTCTGGGTTCTCCGGCTTCCTCCCACAGTCCACAAACATGCTGAGGTTAATTGGTGATTGTAAATTGTCCGTAGGTGTGAATGTGAGTGTGCTTGGTTGTCTGTCTCTAAGTGTAGCCCTGTGATAGACTGGTTACCTGTCCAGGTGAACCTGCCTTCACCCTGAGTCAGCTGGGATAGACTCCAGCCCCCCATGACCCTAGTGAGGATTAAGGTGTAGAGATGATGGATGGATGGATAAAAAGCTAAATCATGCAGCAGTAATCCTCTACATCTAACCTTTAACTTTATCATTTTCTCTCTGCAGGGAGGAAACGACTTTGAAATCTTCAACGATCCCCGGACCATCGGTTTCACCGTTTACTCTCCAGAGGACACGGCTCGGCTCTGTCGGGAAATTTTCTTTGATTCTCCGCCACACGAGTCCTGATGACCTGAACCGCCCCCCATCCTTCACTCTCTGAACTCGAGTCCTGGATGTCTGCTGCTATGACAGCCAGCATCTTGAGCCCAGGCTATTTATGAACTGCTGAAAGGTACCACTACTGACGTCTGCGTATCATTAACAATGTTGTGAAATGTAAATGGACGACAGCAGCGTGATTTGCCCACGTCAGTGAATCGCACTGCTTTTTATTGTTTTTTAAAAGGGACCGGGGTGGTTTTAGGTTATGTTGTGTGTTAAACTTCTAAGTACTGTGCCAGATGTGTTTGACTGAGGTATGTAGCACGTCACCTGAAATTAACCAGAAAGCTCAGAGAGATTATAAAACACTCTGCAATGTGCAAAGTTAATACTTCAAATTGCTTAGAGTATAGAGTGATGTTTGCACTAATTTTTGCAAAATTTGATCCTAATAATTAACACTGCTGAAGAGGGTAAGAGAAACTAATCACGCTTGTTGTGTTCTGAGTCTATTTTAAACAGTGAGATATGAATAAAGTGAAGATTAGAGCCTTCCTTCCTTCCTCTGAGGATGCAGGAATCATTCCGGGTATTTTCTCGTCTGAAGTGAATCTGTTGATCGTTTTCTGTGATCCCTGATTGTCCAAAGTCGGTTTTAACTTCGCAAAGCTGCTGAAAAAAAAAGAAGCGTGCTGGTGTTTCTTGTTTTGCTTCCTAAAAGGCATTCAAGTGAAGATGAGTTATATTTAAAATTAAACAGTTCTGAGTCAGTGAATTCAGTACGGCAACTGTCTATGTAGAATATTTTTACCAGTTGCTCTGCGCCTGGTGTTCTGGGTGACTAAACGTACTGATCGAGTCCTCGTAGCGACGTTTTTAGGTTTTATTCTTGCTTCACAGGTTTTTAAAAAAGGTTTAACGTGCTGGATTTTACCATTTAGTTCTTGTTCTAGAACAATATTGTCTCTGTGATGCATCATCGTTGTGAATATGAACTTGTGATGAGTCATGTTTGTGTGTCTGAACACTCCGTGAACTGGACAGGATCATAAAACGTCTCATGTGTCCCTGATGCTACTTGCTGATAAAAACACTAACTGTGAAGTCTGTTCATGACGTCTTCATTGTAATAAATTTTTGATATCATCTTAACAGCCTCGGTTCTTTCTTCTTCCCCCCTTTGGGTCGAACTGAGCTATGATCTCATTTATTGTGCACGTGAAGAGCTTCGTGCACGCTGACCTGCTGTTCCCCATGCGGCCACTAGATGCCCCCAGACGTTCCAGTTTCTTTATCTCAGTATTTAAACCCATCAAGTCGTCACTTTATTCATGCCTTGAATGTGTACGTGGTTCTCTGGTTTGCTTTTTGCCACCTTGTACAAGTTTTTTTTATTGAAACCCTTGTGATTATTATTAGGGTCCGAGCACCCAAAAGGGTG